GTAGCAAAAGATAGATAGGGAGTCTGAAACGACACTTGGAAACAGTTTATGGTAAAAAAGAAAAGTGTGGTGTCCTCTATATTCAGGGCAGAGATACGAATAGTCACTTTCTAAAGAGCTATGTCACAGAACACAGAGAGAAATAAAACTCATTCAGTGAGTGTTTGAGGACAGTGTACAGATAGTAGCTAGATTAGGAGTGATAGTTAATGAAATGGGGATCAACTGAAAGCAAAAAAACATAAAGCCAGTGTCAGGAGAACTAATAGGAGCAAAGACCAGACTAACCTAAGAAGTTTTTGTTTAGTATAGTATTATAAAGATACTAACATATCAAAGTCCTTTAAAATATGCATATATTTTGATCCAGCAATTTATCATTATAAGTTTTTACTTAAAAATAAAGTGGTTGTATGTGTCACTGTCACTATTAAAATACTCAACACAATATGGTCTATAATAACTAAAAATTAGAAGCAACTTAAGGACTAGCAGTTGGCATAATGCCTATGTCACTGGACTACCATGTAGTCGACCATGGTTAGAGTCCCAGACCCAGTGGCTTAAACTCACACCGGGCACGTGTGTGTATGTGCCCAAGATCCCAAGGAGAATGGAGGAGAAGGGATTATGGTGTGACAATCTCCCCTGGAGGGTGATTTCTCCCTTTCTATGAGAAAACACACCCTATAGCAAAAACCTCTCAAAAAAAAAAAAAAAGAAGAAGAAGAAGAAAAAGCAACTTAAATATCTGTAACTGAGAGATGCTTACATATTACAGAAAATCCATATAATGGAATCTAGGGCAACCAAAATAGATAGTAAATAATTTACAGGAAGAGGAATTCATTGTTAAGTTATTTGGGGGAAAGAAGGTTATTCTATAAAGGCATGTGTTGGAGATAATTGCCAGTTTGGCTCCAGACTCCTGCAGTAAAGGAAATATCACAATAAAGCGAGTCACACACACACACACACACATACATCTGCTGTATGTAGCCTATTAAGTATGCAATAGCATTAAGTCTAAAACAATGTACATATCTTAATTTAAAAAAAAACTTTATTGCTAAAAAGTGCTAATAATCATCTTAGTGTTTAGCAAGCCATAATCTTTTGGCCTTGATGGCTGCTGACTGAGCAGGTTAGCAGCTGCTGAAGGGTGGGGCAGCTATGGCAGTATCTTAACATAAGACAACAACACAGTTTGCTGCATGAATTGACTCTTAACAAAAGATTCCTTTGTAGTTTGTGATGCTGTTTGATAACATATTACCCACCGTAGAATTTCTTTCAAAAACAAAGGCAATCCTAGTAAAACCCGTGGCTGCTTTATCAACCAAGTTTATATACTATTCACAATCCCTTTCTTGTCATATAAAAAAAAATCTTATATCATCTTCAGAAGCAGTAGTTTCCGTGTCAAGAAAACACTTTCTTTGCTCATCTATAAGAAGCAACTGCTGAAAATTTTTTCACATTTTTTTTGCCTATTGTGTGTCTTCTTCAATATTTATCTGTTGCTCATTTTTAACTGGATTATTCATTTTGTGATTGGGAGTTCTTTTTTTCTTTTGTTTTGCCTGGTGAGCTATGAAACAAAATGTATTTTAAGTGACTCTTGATTGTTACAAAAATAACTTTTTTTTGCAGCAAAAAAAAAAAAAGAAGCAACTGCTCATCCATTGAAATTTTATCATAAAGGTGCAGCAATTCAGTCACATTTTCAAGCTCTACTTCTAATACTAATTCTCTTGATGTTTCTACTACATCTTCTGTTACTTGCTCTACTAATGTTTTGAACTTCTCAAAGGCATCCATGAGCATTAGAATCAGCTTCTTCCAAACTACTATTAATGTCCTCCCATGAATCATGAATGTTCTTAAAGACATTCAGAAGAGGCAACCATTTCTAGAAGATTTTTAAATTACTCTGTCCATAGTCATTAGAATTACTATCTATGGTAGTTATAGACTTTGAAAGATATTTCTTTTTCTCTCTCTTTTTAAACCCCCCATGGAAAATGGTTACCTTGCAATTACTTTTCTTCATTTCTCCCTCATTTTGAGATTTGGCACATATACATATACATACTTGGTGTATTTTTCAAGTCACTTGCTCCAGGACTTGAACTGTACAATTGGCCAAATGGGATTCAGAAGCCTTACCTACTACACCATAAACTGGCCTAGAAAGATATTCCTTAAATAATAAGACTTGAAAGTTGAAATTACTCCTCAATCTATGGGCTACAGAATAGATGTTGTCTTGGCAGGCATGAAAGCATTAATCTCCTTGTATGTGTCTAACAGAGTTCGAGTGACTATATACATTTTCATTGAGCAGAAATACTATTAAAGACATTTTTTTTTTCTGAACAGAGGTTGCTAATTAAAATAGTTAATTGTGCTCTAAACGTAATCTTTGTTTTCCATTTTTATTTTTTTTTGTAGAGGTTTTTTGTGTTTTTTGTTTTGTTTTGTTTTATTTTGTTTTCTTATTGGGCGTGTGTGCTCGCCAGAAAGACAGACAAAGACAGAGAGAGAGAAAGCAAGAAATCACCCCCCAGAGGGGATGACCATGCCGCAATCCCTTCTCCTCCATTCTCCTCTCGGGATTTTGGGCACATGTGCCCGGCGTGAGTTTAAGCCACCGAGTCCAGGACTCAAACCACGTCAACTACATGGGAGTCTAGCGACATAGCCATTACACTAACTGCTGGTCCCTGTTTTCCACTTTTAGAACACAACCAGAATAAATTTATGGTAATGCTTAAGGACCCCAGGATTTTCAGAATAATAAATAAGCATTGGCTTCAACTTAAAGCCACCAGATGCATTACCTTCTAACAAAAGAGTAGGCCTATCCTTTGAGGCTTAGAAGCCTGGCATTGACTTCTCTAGAGCAATGAAAGCCCACGATGGTGAATAGAAGGATTTATCCACACTGAAAATCTGTTGTTTAGTGCCTTCATCAGTGATCTTAGTTAGATCTCTGGATAATTTCTACAGTATCAACAGTCAACATCAACACTTGCTGTTTCACTTCCATGTTATGGAGATGGCTTTTTTTTTTTTTTTTTTTTTTGTAGAGGTTTTTGCTATAGGGCGCGTGCGCTCACCAGACAGAGAGAGACATAGAGACAGAAAGCGAGAAATCGCCCCCCAGGGGGGATAGTCATGCCGCAATCCCTTCTCCTCCATTCTCCTTTTGGGATCTTGGGCACGCACACACACGTGCCCGGCATGAGTTTTAAGCCACCAGGTCTGGTACGCGAACCACGGTCAACTACATGGGAGTCCAGCAACATAGCCATTATGCTAATTGCTGGTTCCCGAGATGGCTTCTTTTCTTAACTTCATGAACCAACCTCTGCTGGCCTCCAACTTTCTTCTGCAGCTTCTTCACCTCTCTCTCAAGCTTCATAGAATGGAAGAGAGAGGACCTTGCTTTGGAATAGGTTTTGGCTTAAAGAAATGTTGAGGCTGGTATAATCATCTACTCAGACTACAAAAACTCTCCTTATCAGCAGCTGTCTCTTTCACTATCTTATCATTCATATACTCACTGGAATAGAACTTTAATTTCCTTCAAGAACTTTTTTTTTCCATTCACAACTGGGCTAACTATTTAGCACAAGAGACCTAGCTTTTGCCTATTTTAGCTTTTGACATGCTTTGGTCATTAAGTTTAACCAATTGTAGCATTTGATTTGAAGTGAGAAACATGTGACTTTTCTTTCACTTGGACATTTTGAGACCATGTAAGGTTTTAGTTGGCCTAATTTCAATATTGTTGTGTCTCAGGGAATACAGAGACCTGAGGAGATGGAGAGAGATGGGGAATGACCCATTGGTGGAGTAGTCAGAATACATACAACATGAATTAAGTTTGCCATTTATGTATCCATAGTCTGTAGTATCCCAATACAATTACAGGAGTAACATCAGAGATCACTCAGCACAAATAATTATAATAGTTATAATAAAAATGTTTAAAATATTGTGATAATTACCAAAATATGACACAGACATAAAGGACAAATGGCTTTTGGACAGTCACCAGTGCTGCTGGACAAATGGCACCAATATACTTGCTCAACACAGGGTAACCACAAAGCTTCAATTTGTAAAAAATGCAATATCTAGAAAGTGAAATTATGTGAAACACAATAAAGCAAGGCATGCCTGTAGTCTGCATAATTGAATCCTGTGTTCTGAGTCCCTAACAATTTCTACACAAAGAAAAATAAATTTAGAAGTATATAGCAAACATGCTCATAGTGATTATGGAGAATGTGATTAAGATTGATTCTTATCTTTTTTACTTATCTGAATTTACTTTTTTAACAATGAATATGATGAATATGTACTATCCTTGGCCTTTTTATAGTTTATTTATAAATTTTATTTAATTGTCTCCAGATACAGTAAAAGTAGAGGATGAATGATTATAGCCTACACTCAGCTGACTGAATAGTCTGGAATGATAGTGGCGATGATATGTCTCCATGGAATAGATAATGTGTGCCCTCAAATTTCCTAGACTGTGAGTGCTTAAGTAACAGAGATAAGCATACAAGAACAAAGGTCTTTAATCACAGAAATCACCCGTTATCCTTGTAGTATGATAGCAAAGAGGGAAACTGAGACTGGTTTGACAAGTGAGACAGTTTGCTGGTACCATTTTTTTCACAGATACAGTTAAATCAACCACCTGAAAAGGACGGTCATCAATGAGCGGTGGTGGTAGTAGTTGAAGAGACTTATCACCAGCAACTATTGGGTTATCTGGAAATTCATGATGCATTTTTGCATAGAAAAATATGTCATGATTTCCCCAACAACCTAATACTTTGAAATCTGTAAGTCTATGGTTGTCAATGTCAATTTTTTGGCAGAGGATTTATTATTATGTATAAGTGCAATGGTCTTAATCGTGGGGATAGCCATACAAAAACAAATAGGTAAACATCTACTATATTTTCTTTTGATTCCAGGAAACTCAGGATGCCCCATTTTCTTCTGGGGACTTCTAGCCTTCTTGGGTTTGGCTTTGGTCCTATCGGTGATCTTCAATATTTCCCACTATGTGCAAAAGCAGAGACAAGGTAAGACATTTTGATAAATAGTCATGTAGTGCCTGCTTGACTAGAGACCGTGGAGAAAAAGTGTGAAGTCACTGGAACACCTATCAAAGAAGACAATGTTATGAAATGTCATCCAATAGGATATTTTTACCTGTAGAAAATCTTTTTTTTTTCATTCCAAGGGTCCTATTAAGAATGTATTCATATTAGAAATATATTATTAAAGTGTCCCAAATTTAGCTTTATCTCTGCCCTCAAGTGTAGTGCTGGAAGGATTGTCCTGGTGAATGTTTTTTTCCTCCTCTAATTAATCAACCCATGGCATTATTGTCTTTTCTGGAGCAGCCATAAAGGCTCACTGTGATGCATGATGAGAAAAGTGAAGACCAGTTCTCTAAGATTCCATTGGAGCCTACTAGGTCTTTTCAGGATCAGTCAGACCCCCTAAAGTGGCACAGGAGGGTAGGCTCAGAAGGGAACTGGAAAACACAGTCTGAACCATGAGCTTGTTATCAAACACTCCCAGCCAGTGTCTGACAGGGTAGGTCAAGAACATTGCCACTGTCAACTTTTCTTTTACAACAGACTGGGCAGTAGTTCAGCCATATAGACTTTCACCTGCATGAGCCATGGTTCAAACATGTAAAAACTCAGCAACTGGTACAGCCTTTGCATGCTGTAGGCATTCACCCATGCATGTTAAGTGCATGGGTGAATGATAAGAAGAATACAAGTTCATCTACTTCTGAGTAGTATTTTAACATTCCAGAGTCAAGAAACTCTTAGAGGCAGGGCATTTAAGTAGTAATAAAAGGATAGAAAAGAGTAAACTTATTTTTAAGAGGAAAATAAAACTAAGGTGAAATAAAACTAAGTTAGCAAAATTACATTAGACACATGTGTTTATGGGGAAAAAAACTGTATGAAGCTAATTTAGAATGATAGATTGCAGGGAGTGTCCTTGATCCTCGTTGGTGTATCTTAAGTGTTGCTAATCCTAGCATACACTATAAAGAAGGTGTTATTGTCCTGCAGATTTGAAAAGAAAAATTAGAAGTGATAGAAAATGAAGTGACATAGCTGTGTCATATCTATTCAATAGCAAAATCAAGGATAAGTGTCCAGTTTTTCTAATTCTCAGTCAAAAACAGTTTCCACTAGCAAATGTTGCTCTTGTATTGTTGACCAAATGTCCTCAGCAGAAATTCAACATTTAGTGGATCTTTATTATATCAGTTCTATACCTAAAGTGGGATTCCAGGCAAGCAATACTTTCTGATTAGCAGTGATCTCAGTAATTAAATTACACACACACACACACACACACACACACAAACATACATTTTTGTTTTAGAAAGATTTTCTATAGGGCTATAGGGTGCATGTACTCACTAGAGAGACAAAGAGAGATAGAAAGCAAGAAACCACCCCCCACACACACAGGGGTTGGGCACACCACAATCTCTTCTCCTCAATTCTCTTGAGATTTGGGGCATGCTCACACACATACCCAGTGTAAGTTTTAAGCCACCAGGTCCAAGACTTGAACCACGGTCAGCTATATGGTAATCCAGCAATATAACCATTACACCATCTGCTGGTCCAATAAATCAAATCTATTTTAAAACAAACTTTCTGTTAGCTGTATAAATGACCCATCATCAGCCATATTTTACAAAGTGTCCTTTTATAGAAAAAATGAGCTAAGAGAGACCTTTTCTTTATATGGCAGTTTAAACAGTATATTTTAACTTTTTTCATTAAGATAGTTTGTAAATGCAGATAATACAACAACATGAATTAGAAAAAGATGAACTGGGCCAGCAGGTGGTGCAGAGGAGGGGAGGAAGGGATGGAGGTAAAGAGGGAGAAAGAAAAAGAAAAAGAATAAAGAAGGAAGGTGAGAACCGAGAGCTAGAGAAGTGAAATAAAACGTGGAAACCAGGACAAGAACAATCATTTAAACTAGTATCTCATCCATCCATTTATTCTAATGGTAACCATTTTAAGATTTTTGAGGAGCAAACACTGAGTAGAATAACATGCTCAGCTTGAGTCCCGCTCTCTCATTTCAGCTAGTGAATTTGATCTGTTTATTTTTAGCCTAAATCATCATTTCTTCAACTACATGAAGAATTGCATTGAATTGTAGCAAAAATATTTTTTTTTCCTTTGGAGAGGTTTTTGCTATAGGGTGCGTGTCCTCACCAGACAGACAGAGAGGGACAGAAAGACAGAAAGTGAGAAATCACCCCCCAGGATGTATGGCCACACTGCAATCCCTTCTCCTCCATCTCCTCTCAGGATCTTGGGCATGCACACACATGTGCCACGTGCCTGATGTGAGTATTAAGCCACCGGGTCTGGGACGCGAACCGTGGTCAACTGCATGGGAGCCCACAGACATAGCCATTATGCTAACTGCTGGTCCCGCAAAAATAATTTTTAAGAACTTTTTGAGAGAGCCAGTGAAGTGGTGGTTAAGGTGCCTAGCTCCCACATGGCTGACTATAAGGTTTGAATCCCAGACTTGGAAACTTGAAAAACATGCCAAGTGATGTGTGCATGCATGCCCAAAATTCTGGAAAAAGGAAAAAAATAAAGGTGGAGGGATTGAAGTGTGACCACCTCCGATGGGGGTACTTTCTCACTTTTTTGTTTTCTGTCTTTCTGCTTATCTCTCACATATGCACTCTCATACAAATTACAATACAATTAATTAATTAAATTTTAAAAGAACCACTTTTTTTTTAATCAACATAATCGAGATCAAGACTGTTCTGATTTTATTGACCTATTGCTTCTGCCCAGGAACACGCAATCGTACATAGTCTTTTATAGCTCAATGTACGATTCTCATTTTTAGTATTCTGTGCATTGGAATTTATTTATCAATATTCATATTATTTTACCATGAAAACTCCTTCTGTGGAATAGTTTGCATACAATGGGTAAGTTGACCACTGCCAAAAGACAGTAATCTAACTAAAAGAAAAGGCACTATCTTTTCAATTGTACAAATCTTTAAAGTCATGGCATACCATAAATAGCCCTATTGCCCCAAAGTAGAAATG